TCCTCCAGAATAGCCTAAAACTTTATAGCTAACGGCTTTTTCCTGAGGAGAAGGTTGCTGCAGGCTTCGACCCCCTGAGGGAGGAATTGAGACCCAGTCTCCCGATTCTTGATTGAGCAGTCTAGCTATTACAGTATTATGCAAAAGTTTGGTGACATAACCACTTGCATAGTCTTTCATTTCTTGTTGTTTGTTTGTTATTATAAGAAATGGACTCTACTCAGTTAGACACCTAGCTTCTGAAAGGATTAGGGGCTTTTCAGCCCAGATAGAGCAATGACTTAATCTGCTTTCTGGACCTCACTTCTGAAGGTCCTGAGATTAGAAAAGTGTGTCCTTACACTCAGTACTTTGAGCTGACTGACTCTACTGTGAGGATTTTGTAGATTGCTCTTACACGGTGTCTGATTTTTCCCCATCATCGTTACTGGCCCTCAGTATCTAGACAGCAGTTTTATTAGATGACTGCTTGTGCTGTTGAATAGCTTCTCATTTCAAGGAAAGGGAGTTCTTGTTGAGGAAACATTAAGTAATTTCTGCAAAACTAACAATCTACCAGTTAAAGTGTGTGTTATCTTCTAGGTCAGTATTTGTAACGTTTGCCCTACATGTTACTAAAACAAGGATCCATTGCTAAAATGAAGTATGACTTTCATTCCTATTTTGCCATATTTATGTGCAGATAACATGCCTCATGCCAAAATGTACTGCCACTGGATGTTAGAAGTTTGTAGCTGATATAATACTCTTACCTAAAGTATAATTAAAATGCTGTCTGATGGTTATGGTTAATTAGCAAAAGCCTAAAAGATTAAATTACTTACTGGGCTCTTGACTGATTGAACTGATACGTGTCCTGGATAAAACATAAATATTGCAGAAAATAATCCAATATGACATCTGTGACATTCAACTATAACTTAAATTATAGACTGGTCAGTAAATGATCTTAAGCTGTTTAAGGTTTCATCAGCCATCTGCAAGATTGATTTTCTTCAAAATTACTGTACTAAAATGTTTTCTTTTGTTGTTGCACTGACTCGGATCACAAACCACAATTTTAAGATCGGCTCTTATTTACAAAAATGCTTTGACATAGTGCATTTGTTCAGCCTAGGCAACAATAAAGGATTGTGGTATCATTTGAAGAAGGTTGTTTGACAGATCCTGTTTGTTTATTTGGGGTAATGTGAGCTGCATTCAGAAAATGTTATATTTTGTTTCATGATTGTGTACATTCTCTCCCACTGCTTCCAGGCAAGCCCTGTAAGCAGAGAAGACATGGATTTAGACCTTGTTTCCATGGCCAGTGGAAGTGCCTTGACTGAGAACAGAGAAAAAAATAAGCAGCCACACAGATACTCAGCAAGATCTTCAAGTAAGTTATGTTTTGTTTCAATACCAATTTTAAAGATCACTGTAAAATGCTAGGTGGAACTGAGCATGCTTGGAATCACTAATAACATATGCTAATAATGTTTCTGTTTCTTTCTTACGTAAAACCTCTTCATACATTTTCTACAGTTCTGTTTAAAAACTGCGCCATTAATATCAATAAACTTTCCTCCTGTAATTTCAATGGGAAGTTCCCTGTGATGTATGCTAGGTCTTCTGATGATCAAGTTCTTAAAAGATCTTAACTTCTGTAAATTATAAAACGGATTGGATTTTTTAATGTTCTCTTCCTTTTTTTTTTTTTCCAAAAGACATTTGAAAAATACGTGTTGTGTGAACTGAATACCCGGACACATCTCCTAATCAAGCTACAGATTTATGTCATGTTAATTATGCTGCAGTATATGCATCACACTGAACTTACCATAGCTCAGTAGCAGAGGCTCCTTTTAAAACATTATATTTTTACCACTCTAACATCATACAAATTAGCAAAAGAGTCTATGTATCGAAAAAAAAGAAAAAATAATACTTGAAAGTCATAAACTGGTAGCATTTTAAGTTTCATGGTTTATTTTGTGTAATATAAAAGAAGAAAATGTTGATATATTTCTAATAATATGACATGCTGTATTTTATAAGTTGTGTACATCTTTTCCAAATAAATAAAACTCCAAACCCCAAAAATGCACATTGCAGAAAACACAAGCAGAATTAAATAACTTTTACTAAATTATTGGAATTCCTAAAACTGTTTAAGTAGTGAAGTTTCCTGAAATGTTTTATGTCAAAATAGAAATCAGCTAATTTCACAGATTATATGTAATTTCTGGATTTGCTTTTTTGATTATGTTTTCATATACACTGACTTTTCACTTTCAGTGGAAAACAAAATTAAAGGAAAAATTTAAAAATACTTGATATCTCTATTTTTCTGACATGCTTTGTAAACGTTTTGGAATAAAGATTTATTTACATTGTATTAGTCCACCACAGGCAAAAAATAACAGTTAGTACAATTTGGCTGTGCTTATTCACTTGACTTACAGTCTTAAAATCAGAATAGATGGAAGTTATCCTCCTAGTCTAAGTTAATTGTGTCCATGGAGAAAGAATATGATTCTTTCTCTCTGCCTACCATCTTAGAAATGAATGGTGTTCTGAGTTTTCCTGTTTCTCTCCACTAGTTAGTGATGAAGCCCCACCATTTAAATTAAATTAGGTTCTTAACTGCTAAGACCCTGAATCTGGATGAGACAAGTCTAAGATAGTGATGTCACTGGCAAAATTATCACTATATTCTTACATTCAAAATAGAATGTACGCGTGTCTTTAATAATAGAGTTAAATAGCGTACACTGCAGTCATATTAGTGTATAACTGCTGTGTAGGTTGTAACCTACACTATACCTCCATCCAGAAAAATAAATAAGAATAAGCACTTTTGATGAAGTTAGACATGGAGAACTTACGTATGTTAGGATCTTTGGAACTGTGAAGACAAAAGTGTCATTGTATTATGCCTTCAAAAAGAAGAGACTAGGAAAGGAGCAGGAAAGAGCAGTCAGCTGGCAGAGTCAAAGTGTGAGAGACAACCAGTTTACAGTGTCTGAAAAAATATGAGAGTATTTTCACAGAATACTTATCTTCTACAGCACAGTGACATATTCATTCTCCTTTCAGTAGTCCAGGAAGTAAGGGAAAAAAAAGCCCAAGTCTTATGTCTTTCTATACACATTTCTACGTCTGTGTAATTATTTTCATCATGGATTTATAATGCATATTCCATCTAAAACTAGATTTTACTACCATCTTTGTGCAATTTATATTCAGTATATAAACGTGTATTATATTGTTTGCTAAAGACAGTTGCTTTTCAGTGATCAAAAGTAAATTATTAGCCTTGTGGTATCCTTAATCTGAGATCACTGGAAGTTTGCCTTCATTCATAATGTATTCATTGAAAGTACTTTCCTGTCTCTCTTGGGTTTTATTTCTGAAATATTTAATGAAGAAGCCTAGAAAATATTTTAGTGATTTAGTAGGTATATTCCTTTTGACTTAGCCTGTGCTTGTATTACAGAAGAGCTTAGAAAGATGCTGTGACCTTAGAGGTGCTGCCACTTGAATAAAATGTTAAATCAAGTTCTTGGACTATTTTATTTTCAGGAGAATTCATCCTCAGTGGTTTGACAAGCTTTAATTAATAAAACACTGCTAAATTCACTTTGCAACTTCCATAATCCTGTTTCTCAGAATACTTCTAGATTATTAGTAGGATCACTTTGGCTAACTGTGCCATACAGCTGAGGTATTAGTGTGTATATATATATATATCAGAGATACTAGTTGAGGGTATCATATGTTTCTTATATATAGTTTGTAATTCAGTGATTGCATCAATAAATTGTTAAGATCCTCCAGGCTGAAAAGTGAGGTCAAAAAATGCAGGTTACATGATTTTTTTTGGTACGTTTACTCAAAAAGCCCTCAAATATATATGATACTAAAATAAAATGCATTGTATATACTACAGGGACATGACTGCAAATGATTCATCATATATTTGTAAAGATAAAACATATGATGCTTCAAAGTTATTATCCTTGAATTCAGAGATTAGTTTGTTTTTGTTGTGTTTTTTTTTTAAATAAGTCAAAATTTTCAGAAAAAATTTTAGGGAACTGCACAACTTTGATGAAAATTCTGTAGATCTTATTTTCCAAAGGTAGGTTCTTAGGATTCCTTATTAAAAGGTTTGCAGGTTATTATCACCCATCACCCAAATCTACTTTTTTTTTTTTTCCCTGAAAAAGCTGAATGGGGTAGTTTAATCCTAAACTAATGTAATCCTGTTCCTTGACAAAACAAAACTGATTAAGGAATAAATGCTGTGGACATAGTATATCCCGGTTTAAGGAAAGTGCTTTTGTACTTAAAGTATTTATGTGGTTCCATGACCAATTAGTTATCTTTCTAATTTAGGACCTTGCCTCTATTGATGGCCAGTAGATTATGGTTGCAAACATACTACTTTATAATCCTTCCAGTAATCACAGTTACTTCATATGTTCCTTCGTAACTAATTTTTCCTTTCTACTTCTTGAGGTAGTTTTTTTTTATCCTTTCTTGTCTGACTGCTGCTAAGATGTTACTCTTTGTGGCACCTAGTGCCAGTAAATTGCAAATATAGGTGCATTATAATGACCTTTTGCTGATTATATTTTCTGCCTTTCAGTTTCTCATAAACTTACCTTGCTTTTGTAAAAAAAAGACAGAAAAAAAGTTTTTTTCCTGATGTGTAATTTCTCTTTAATACGCATACATGAGCCATGGTGGTTAGTATCTTAGAGAGTTAATACAGTATTCAAGTGCAAGTCCTATACTCATTGGTATTTTTATTAACTCTATAAATATTGGTGTGGATTACTGGTTATATTTTTTAATGTCTTCCTGAACACTGGTAGTGTAGTCAGCACTAAGTTGCAACAAGATGTCCATAGAAATATTTTGCAAGAATTAGAAGTTGTTTTTTTTTTTTGGTTTTTTTTTGTACCTAGCTAGACAAGATGGGGTTTTTTTATGCTGAAATTTGTGAGTAGTCTATGACAATTGTCAGTTCCATTCTATCATCCTAATCTAGCTCTGGACAACAAATGTTGGTCGTTTAGATGAGCCTCTTATATATTTACATTGTCTACCTGGCATCACAATTTTGTGGTTTTCTTTACTCCGCAAATCTTAAACTTAATTTTCTTTGTACTTCTTGTGAATCTTTTGATATGGATTTCTAGAAGCACCAGAATTTGAAAGTGGTATGCAATGGAACCTGTGCCTCTAATTGTAATTTAAAATACTGCCTAGAATTATTAATTCTTCTCTTCCTAGAGTTCTAGTCTGTCAGGGAGCCTCTGATATCAGTAAAACACTGCTTTCCAGGAAAAAAAAAAAAAAAATTTGGACCTGTGTCTTGTCATCCTTTAATCATGCCTAGTTCAAAAAACAGCCCTTAAATACTGTCTCCACTACCAAACTTTTATCAGTTTTGTTTCTCAGAAAAATTCAAACTTTGCCATTCTCTTAGTCAGTTAAGTTAGATTAATGACATTTAAAAATGACTTTACTACTAGTGTGAAACACTTCAAACACAAAGGGGAAAAAAAAAAAAACAAACAACAAAACAAAACCACGCAACTTTTATTTCACTTTCCTTTTTGTATCTTTCTCTTAATTCTTTTTCCTCATGACAGAATCCCCCTCTTGATTTTTTTTTGCTTTCCTTTCTTTGATAATGAGAATCTTTAGAAAGTCTTCAACTTTATTTTAAGCAGTGTACTGTACAGCTTCACTTCTTTAAAAAATTCCTGCTTTCCTGCTCCTTTCTCCTTAATGTTAGTATTGTCTATATATTCTAGTTCCATAACTGCTGTCTTTCATTTAGGATTTGTAAACTCTCTGTGTGCAGTAAACATCTCAGTTTTAAACTCTGTCTTCTTGCCTTTCCTCATATTATACTGAGGAGTTTCTGGTGGTCTTTTTTTGCTTTCCTTCTTTCTTTTTCTTTTTTTTTTTTCTTTTGTTTGCTTATATAGTCTGTATTAGAAGTTTGCCATGTTATAGAAACTGACTAAGAAACATCTTAGAAGCATGGCATCAAATATGGAGCTACATTTTTAGTAATCCTTTCAATTTCTCAGCATTTGCCTGCTTAGTAGAATTCCTAGAAGATAGTAGTAGAATTTATGCTTTCTCTTTAGAAATGTGTAGAAATGCTGTAAATTTATGAAGTATATTTACAGGACAAATTGCTTACTATCATCAACAAAATGCTGAACCAAATTTACCTTAGAAATCACAACTGCTATCAGAATTTTAAGAATAAAACTGTCTCTTCTGTAAACTATGGGATTATATGACCATATAAATGTTAGTGGGCAAGCATTTTGCCCAATAAAAGAGAGTGAGAATCCCATACTTTTCCTA